TAGTAGATAGTAGATCTATTTGTACAGTTTGTTAGCAGCCAAAGTATAATGCCAACTTGTGAGTACACGACTGCATCTGGTGTAACTTGTCTGTACCCAGCACTGTGGCACACAATGTATTTGCTTAATAATGCAAGCATTGATATTAATGTAATTGCAGAAAGAAGACTATGAAGGGAAGTATTCATAACTTAATAATAGCTATGAATCTCAGCAATATAGACAAGGTATAGATAGCGTACCATAATACAATAAATTAATAGCATAATAAAATTGTAGTTTATATGAGCATGACAGTTTCATTTCTAATTCTAAATGTCAAGAATGACTGGGGGGCTCTTTATTGTTATTCTTACTGAATGATCAATAATGTACCGGTACACCTATATGCATCATGATGCACTTCTCTAGTAATAAATAGATGATTTAAATTTAGTGTGATGCATTAATTTTTATGTCTCTTTAGTTGTCTATACACTGAGAGTATCACAAGGAGTTTGCAACAGGCCAAATTTACAGAAAAATCTTCTTATATTATATTTTAATTAAATTAAATTATTAAAGTAAATTAAAGTAAATTAAAATAAATTAAATTAAAATTAATATAAACCTGGAGTATCCGCCACACTCATTGGTTATTATTATTGGTTAGAGATAGGCCAGTCAATAGCACTGCATGTATAGGAGAAAAGTAACATTCATTTGATACATACATTGTACATGATAGATCTACATGTAGTTAACACACCTCAGAGCACTGGCCAGGTGAGTAATAACCAGACATGTACAGAGGAGGGTCTTCATGTTTCACAGCTTTCCTTCTTTGTCATATTCTTCTTCTGTGAGATTTTTAGAAATGTGATCTGATCATTCCCTTTTATAGAATACCAAGTTTGTAGAAAAATTTGAAGACTCTGTTTTTACTAAATTTGGAAGATTCTCTTAATAAATTTTGACCAATAAGCAAAAAAGCAAGTACTTTAGCTGCTAACAAACTCCATGAGTAGGTCTACTATCTGACACGACTGCATGCATCCTTTACACTTGGCCTTAAAACTTGTCTGTGCCTAGTGTGGCACTATACTATCATTACCATAATAGGTCAGTACAGACAAGTTGTAAGGCCAAGTGTAACGGATACTTGCAGTTGAGTGAGATAGTAAATCTACTAATGCAGTTGTTAGCAGCCTTTGCTCAGCCAAAATGGTAGTAGGGATGGATGTAATAGAATCAACATAATGATATTATTGCCAACACAAGCAGTGATTATAGCAAAAGAAGAGAGAGTATAGTTGATCAATAAACAAGTCAGTGGACTACAGTGTTGTAAAGTGTACTCAAGTTGTTCTTTTGATAAACAGCACTGAGCTATTACAAATGACAACAAAATTATTGAGATCTATAATTGCATCTTAAAATCCAGTGAGCCAATGCTGTTTAAAATGAGAAAAGATGACTATGATAATCTAGGGCAGCTGAGAGCTCTTGCAGTGGACTTAAGGACAGACTTCTGTACAACCTCATCAATATAAATACTTCAATGATGCCTTCTAGTATAAATAGTTTGTACATTCTCAGGTATACTGTCCCAACTGAGTTTGACCCAAGAAAAACTGTGAATAACCTTTTATAGGAATGTGGGACAAGGATGAAACTTTCACAGATTCTTAGTCACCCAATGCCATCAAAGGATCTCAGGTCTTGAGTCTCTCAGCCCTTGGGAACCTAGGAACTAAGACTGATGCAGAAATTAAATGCTTTGAAATTATTTAAGCCAGAGTAAGTGATTGCACAGATCAAATGGATCACGCATTTTAAGCAGATTTTAAGGTTTAATTATACAGTGCATTCTATGTTTAAAAGTCACTCCCTAGAACATGACTATTTATAATAACAATAGTAATAATAATAATAATAATAATGATGATGATGATGATGATGATATTGATTTTAATGATTTTTTGCTGCTGGTGTCCCATCAAGTCTTTAACCTTTAGGTTTATTGAGATCTGATGTTAAGAGGCCTGATGGCGTCACTTTGATTCCTTGGTCTCGTGGTAGGCCATTCAGTGGTCTGGGATGCTACTATCCCTGATTCTCTGGCTCCTTCATATTGTAATGTTGTGACTTCTGGTCAGTAATTATCCTAATTATAATAATGTCAATCAGACATATTTTGATTGTGTTAGTCTCACTCAAGGATCATCTCACAAACATATCTGGAGTTTCATGGCTGGACCTACTCAAGCTACTCCTAATGCTTACAACTGTCTGTGTTCATCTGACAGTACAAGAGCCATCCAGTCATTTATTGGTAATCACAATTATTGTGAGTCTGGAAACCCAAACAATGTTGCTTCATCCATCCTATATACAATAGATCCAGTCCTCATTGGGATGGTAAGAACTGTCAACATATCTTCCATGGTTTTACAGAGATTTTGGGAATATTAGCAGTAGTGAATACCTTGAACTAAGGATTCGTGGCAATGAAGGTGCAAATGATAAAGACAGCCCAGTTGGCCTGATAGAAACTTACATAAAATAAAACTTTATTTTATTTCAGATTTTTCATATCAAATGTAGTGTTCGAATAATCATTTTAGTTAGAATTACAATGAAATGCATTTTAAAATTATAACGCAATGACAAAGCCACAAGTAGAAGACAGTATATAATTATGTAATGACAAACTACCAAGTCAAAGAGTTTGTCATGACTATTAAAAGTACATCAGAAAAAAGAGAGCTAGAGGGGAAGAGGTAAATTTAAAATGAACATTAAACAAAAATTGAATTTGCTGGAAGACGGTAAACATTTGTACTTGAAGGTATTTAAAGGAGGGTACTTAAGAAGAGGTGAAGTAGAGAAATTAAGTTTGTTTAGATATATTAGTTTTTGAGAAAGAATAGAAGACAGAGTACCAGCTGAGCTGCTCTACAGTCTTCGCTGCTGTATTAGTAACTGGAAGTGTTGAGCTCAATCAAGTTACATGCACTCAAATAGAGCAATCTTTTGTAGTAAAACCATGATTCTGAAGTCCTCCACTGGATGGTGCATGTGGCAATTCCTAAAAGAGTTAATTGACAGACACAGAGTGAGCACCTGTTGTATATGTGGCCAAAAAATATCATGTAAAACTTAAAGAGCAACAATTTACATAAATATGCAGCAGTAAAATTAGTTTTTCTTAATATAAACTTCCTCTGAATTGAAAATAAATTACATGACTTATAAAGCCATACAGTATGCTACATACAAAAATCTCTTCCATTTTTGTCAATACTTGCCCTCTAACTAATAATACAAAAAGCATTATCAATAAATGTATGTTGTAATTCATAAACAGTATAAACTAAATAAATTTCAGAAACAAAAAGCATCAAAAACTTTAAAGATACAAAAGTAAATTGGAGAAAAATGATAGCGGTACATCTATTATCACAAATTAATGCATTATGATCCCACAAAAGAGACTTGAATAATAAACACATACATGTAATAGTCTTTTTAGATCACAAAAGCCATAAAGTGTATGATTCACAATAAAATTGCAAACATAATATGAAATGGTAAATTTCTGATCGTTTTGGAAATGAATCCTCTTTATCAAGCTATAACACAATATAGCTATTCTTATAAACAAAAATGTGATCCCAATCATTTACAAAGTAACAAAGCCAAAACCTCACGCAACAGAAATTTTATGATGCTAACATTGTAAAAAAAGGAAGAAAGAATAGAAAAATAGACAATTACTAATACAGGGGTAGAGTGAGACATTTCGCATTTATCAAAAGATAAATCCCAACCTGGACCACGAGGAGGTAGTCTCACATTTCCAGGTCAAAACCAATGCAAGACATTAAAGCAGTCAGGTGTAACTCAGTGTCCCATTTGCCACATAAAGTACAATATATATTACACTTTATGCTACTTTAAATTGCAAGCCACTACAACAGCACAGTGCAACATAAATAGTACCTGTTCTACAATATCACTACCATGTAATGACTACAATAACAGCTGCCACCCAAATCATGGTACGGCATCAAGTAGTTGTACTGTCATGATTTTCACAGATTCACATGTAGCTGTCAATGAAAGTTGCCACCCAAAGCATGGTACAACTTCCACAGCCTGCTTGCATGCCTCAAATAAAGTGTGGCATGGTTGCAATGTTGCCACCCAAAGCGTAGTACAACTTTCACAACCTGCTTGCAAGCCACCAACACAGTGTGGTATGGTTATCACATGCTACCACCCAAAGCGTGGTACAGCATGAGGTACAAGTACAGTATGTACAGCGTGCTTCACCAATATAATGACAACAGCTTCACAATAGCTGCATCAAGTATTTGCTGCATCAGTTGCCACCCAAAGCGTGGTACAACTTCAATATTACATGAATTACCACAGCTTAACAAGTATTACGCATAAAAATACATTCTACAAACACATCTCTGCTATTTATAATAATGTGCTGCAAAGGTTAGGCAAATGATTATGAATGTGAACAATACAGGGAGCAAGTGTACATTCCAACACAATGACTAAAAGCCTAGCATTAGCAATCAAACATACTATCTACAAATATACACAAAATATGAAGAAGTCAAACTCTAACAATTATAACTAAATCTCTTTGTGACTAACATATTACAAGTAAGTAATTAACTAAACCAGAAAAAATACTGAAACTAAGTAAAACAACAAGTTTGAGTGGAGGAAAAGTAGAAAGAAAGAAATAACAATTCACAATGAATTGACAGTTTGATAGTGTGGACTGTGTAGTCAATAAATTTAACAGTTATAATGTTGGGTGGGTATGTATGTATACAGTAGTAGATTGGGTGTGACCATGCATGTGTGCATAGATTGTCTTCAAGTACAAGCAGCAATCTTTGTCTCCTGACTCTCCTCTCCAACTATTAATAGAGTTTAAGTGAGTCAAAAATATTGTCTAATATCAATTAGACTATTCAGTTTTATAGGCAATAATGGCAGAAAACACAAGTCCAGCTATCACTATGACTTGTGAGGTTTGTTCAGAGTATTACACTGACCCCTTCATGCTTCCCTGTCTTCACTCATTCTGTAAGAAGTGTCTAATAAAAGCTAAAGAGCAGGAAGGTGGTACTGGTACCTCATTAAAGTGTCCAACGTGTGACACTAGCATTAATTTACCTGATGGTAAAATTGAAGGCCTCACTCAAAACCTTTGGCTTGAACATAAATCAAAAGAGGCTTCAATCAAAAAGAAGATTCTTAGTAAAAAAGCAATATTGTGTGATAGATGTGATGATTCCAGTGATGCAGCTACCGTGTATTGCTGTGATTGCAGCCAGTTTTTGTGCGATTATTGTAAAAAAGGTCATGAGCGAAACAAGAAAGAAGCTAATCATGAATTAATCAATCTAGAAACAAAGGAATCCATTGAACTGCCTACTGTTAAGCATGAAGAGGGGTATTGCACACGGCATTTCGATCAAAAGCTGATTTACTATTGTAATGATTGTGAAAAATTAGTTTGTCCTAACTGCCTCCCAATCAAACACAAGGATCACAATGTAGAAGATTACATTGATGTAGGAGAAACAGCACGTAAAGCATTAAAGGAGAGCGTTGCTTGTTGTGACAGAATAATTTCTCAAGTCACTGAAGCTATAGCTAATCGAGAGAAAATGCTAGAGCAGATAGCAACAAGTAAAGAAGAAGTAAGGCAGGAAATCAAGGAAACGTTTGAAGAGCTTAAAGCTGTTTTAGATAAGAGATGCAATGATCTACTAATGGAGACAGAAGAGATTGCTAGCGCTAAGAGGAACTCTGTGAAGGGGCTGTTGGACAGGTTTCGTAAACTGGTAAAACAGGTTTCTCATGGTCGTCATCTTGCATCATCAGTGAGTGAGCGTACTGATCCAGGTGAAGTTCTCAGTGTTAAGAAGCTAATCACCAATCAACTAGAGGAATGCATTGAAGAGTATAAGAAGCTACCTCTAGAAACACAAGAAAATGAAGCAATTTTAACTTGTCTTGATACATCTACTTTGCGTAAAGAGATCAATGAGTTTGGAAGTGTCTCTTATGTACATATAGCCACATATTCTATTGATAGTGGGTTAGCTATTCCACTGGCAACAGTAGAGAAAGAAAGGAAATTCAAAGTGTCTCTACCAGCAGGCATTGATAAAGCAGCAAGCTATTTGAAGGCTTCCTTTATCAAAAGTGATGGTAGTAAAGAGGAGGGTAAAGTTGTTATAGTTCCTGATAACAACATAGCCATTGTATCATGCACACCTCAAAGTATTGGTGGATATGAACTATCAGTGACTATAAGAGGTCATCATATTAAAGGCAGTCCTTATCAACTGTCAGTAAAAGCATCAAGAGACTATACCACACTAACTAACCAGAGATCCTTTAATGTGGGAAGTGGTACTACTGGTGTCGCTGTTCATACTAATGGTGTAGTATTTGCTGGTAGTAGAGATGGGTTTGTTCAAGTATTTTCTGAGGATGGTACTGCAGTAAGAAGGATTGGATTTAAAGGTAATAGTGATGGACAATTTCAACAACCATGGGGCTTATTGGTGGTAGGAGACAGGCTCTATGTGTCAGATGATATTCTTCATCGTGTGCAGTATTTCTCAGCTACTACTGGTCAGTATATTGGTCAGTTTGGTAGTAGAGGTAATGGAAATGGACAATTCTCTAGTCCTCGTGGTGTATCTATCAATGGTAAAGGTAATATATTAGTAGCTGATTCTAACAACAAAAGAGTGCAAGTGTTTGAAGAAGATGGTACATTTGTACAAGTCATACAGTGTTATGGTAAAGCCACCAATGTGGCAGTAGATAATGAAGGAAAGATACACGTCACCATTCAAAGTCAAAATTATATTCAAATTTTTTCTCCTGATTGTAAAACTTCATTTAATCTAGCTTGTAAGTTTATTTGTCCTAACGGTATTGCTATTGATGATGAAGGATATATCTTTGTATCAGTTTATAATGGTGGTACCTTTTCTCTTCATTTATTGAGTCCTAACAGGAAACAAGTCAAATTAATCTCAGGATTGTCTGACCCATGGGGTATAGCACTGTCTAATGATGGATATATTTATGTAGCTGAAAATAAAAACAACTGTATAATGAAATATTAATGCAGTCGTTCAATAAAAGTGCAATAAACCAGATACACTAACAATATTATTCACAATTTACAGTGTATGGTATGAACTGAAATTTTGTTTCCCTTTAAATGTATTTTCCCTTTCCAGTTTATCTTTCACATGCAGTTACACACACACACACACACACACACTTTTTCTTCCTTCTTCCATCTACCCTCCCAACTTCTCTATTCACCTTAAGTGAATATTAATTATTATTGTTAGTAATATTAATTTGATTCAAAATTTTGAAAATAAAGAAAAAGTATAAAATCTCAATTTTATTCCATCTCTAAACAAAGTTTAATAATAGTCATGATCATGACATGAATCACATGATCATGACATGAATCACATGATCATCTATGTTCTTGGTTTCCCTCATCATGAGCCATAACCTCCATTTTCTAATACAACTATGTCTCTCTTTCCTCTCCTAACATTATACTTTCCTTATCCACTTCCCTTAGATATGCACTCAAAAATAACATCATTATAAATTCAATTTTTTTAATTTTCAAAATATTATGATTATGAAGATAAATATCTTCACATTCCTACACATAAATTTCACGCAATAGTCACAAAGCCATACAGTGTACGATTCATAAAAATATTACTTACATGTAATGGTGCAATTTCTGATCATTTTGGAAATGAATACTCCTTATCAAGCCATAACACAATATAGCTATTTTCATAAACAAAAATGTAATGCTGATCATTTACAAAGTATCAAAGCCAAAACCTCATGCAACATAAATTTTACCATGCTAACATTGTAAAAAAGGAAGAAAGAATAAAAATTTTGTTATAAGGAGAAATAGAAAATTAATAATACAAAAGTAGAGTGAGACATTTAACATTTATCAAAAGATAAATCCCAACCTGAACCACGAGGAGGTAGTCTCACATTTCCAGGTCAAAACCAATGCAGCACATTAAAGCAGTCAGATGTAACTCAGTGTCCCATTTGCCACATAAAGTACCATATACACCATATATTTTGCGGGGATTAAATTTCCCAATTTTTCTATTTGGAATAAATTTGCAAAAGTAAAATCTGCAAAATAGCGTGCTGATTTTATAGTAGGTGTGGCAATTGCACTCTCAATTCAATTAATGATAATCATGGTGGGTGTGTACAGTGTATTGATCATTATGTCTTCCTGATTTGTGGGCAGGTATCAAGTATTAGTAAGAACATGGCTTTGATCATTTGATATTCCCTGAGAAGCTATGCTCTAACTGACTTGTAGGGCTGAGGCTATTATTCTCAAAAAATCAGTCATTATTCTATTCTGTTATTCTTGTAAGCAATGTTCATTATTCCCAAAAAATTACCTATTATTCGCAACTTATATTCCATTTATTCAAAAATTTTGTCAGTTCATATAGCTAAACTGAGTTAATTACAAATTATTTATAGTTAATTAACTATTATTATTATGATGTTTAGGCCCATAGGGGTTAGACCAAGTTAATCTGAGGGCTTACCAGGCAATACAGGCTGCGCATGCGCAATATCATAGCAACTACATTTAAATGCTAGAGTGCAGGATGCATTTCAGTTAGTCTCTTGCCGCCTTGCTAGAATTGGCTGATTGGGTCTAAAGCCAGTTGCGAGTCAAAACCACACCCTCCCTCCCAAACTTCAGGGTAAGTGAGGTGGGTCTGTTTTATTATAAGTAGGTAGGGTTAATTTACTTGTGATCTCCAATAGAGTTTCCTTCTCTATTGTGATAGTGGGGAATGGCTCCTCCCTGTCGGTAGTTGGCTGTGGAAGAAGGAGAAATTAATGATTATGATTCACTATGCATTAAGTCACATACATTATAAATCCCTCTCGCTGGTAATTGCTCTGAGGGTGACTCTTATGCTCTAGGAATAATTCTCCTAGCATCATTAATCATGCCAATGTCATAACATACAACTCCTTTCTCTTATCGGTCTGCAAACTGGCAGTGGGGGGTTAAGGCATAACCCACCTTAGGACACACTACATCAGTAGTGGACCCTCTAGTTCCAGTATTTGATGGGACTCTTTCGGAGACTACACTCAGAGACCTTTCTATGGTAAGCCCATATTCAGATTAAACTTAATTAACTCTTAGTTAACTATTATTACTAGTTAGTTAACTTATTAAAATTTTTAATTATAATTGTCATGAATATTAATTATTTTTGCTGCAAACCACTCCCATTATTTTAAAACTCCACCCACTACTCTCTTTTCAAACCATTATTCTACCCCTGTCGACCCCAGTTAAACACAATATCCTTAAAATTATTCCCGAGTAGCCTCAACCCTACTGGTTTGTATCTAGGAAAGCTATAAGATCAAAGGCATATTTATTAGCCATGACGTCATTAGTAAGAAAACTAAAAAATGGCTGAAAAGTTTTTGAGCTTGCTATGGAAGACGAGGTAGAATCTAGTCTATTGAGTAGAACCATAGAAGATGTAAAAATAGTGAGTCTCCTTATTGTATAGTCTTGGAAACTTTCACTTTCTTCTTTTCATGCACGTTTCTTCCTAGGTAAGAAAGTGTCATCATTTCCATGTGATGTCAAAACTTTACTGACTTCATGTTACTCATGTGAGGTCCTAAGGGGCGCATTGCTCTAACTCTGGAGAATTATGTCACAATCAATTTCATTTTTTCCATTAAATTTTATTAAAATGTTCATTAAAAACACTGTTACTTCCTGTTTCATAATACATTCCCCTGGCCACTTCCTGTGGAATACACATGTTCCACTAGCCACTTCCTGTGGAATATATATATATTTTTTCATCTTATGGTTTCCCAGGATACAATGCGGAATCTAATTAACTGATCACAAGATGTCGTTAGAGGACAAGTGTTGGGCTGCGTTTCAAAAAGATCATGAAGAAGCTGTTCACTTACTACCATTAGTGAAGGAACCAAATAAAATTAAAGGAACCGATAATACTAGTTTCCTTCATTTGTCTTCAAGGCATGGGTGGCTAGATGTTATAAAAGACCTCATCACTAAATATCACTGTGACCCACACAAAAGAGATGTTGATGGTTGGGCTTGTCTTCATTATGCTGCAGCACATAATAATGTTGATGTAATGAGATATCTCATTGATGAGGGCCACTGTGATCCAAAGGTTCCTTTTAAGTATGGAGATACTGTTCTTCACAGAGTAGTTGGTAATGGATCACTTGATTTCATGAAGTACTTAATCAATCATCATCACTGTGACCCAACGGCTACTACCAATAGTGGTGAGACTGTTCTTCACCGTGCTGCTGAACACATTGATATTATGAAGTATCTCATTAATGAGTGTCACTGTGATCCAATGGCTACTGGCATTAACAATTGGACAGTTCTTCATGAAGCAGCTATTAGGACCTCACCTGATGTAATCAATTATCTAATCAATGAGTGTAACTGTGATCCAATGGTTGTTGACATGTACGGGCGGACACCTCTTCACTTTGTTGCTATTCATGGCAGTGCTACAACTGTTGAATATTTACTATCAACTGGTAAACGTGATCCGTTGGCTAAAGACAATGAGAGGAAAACACCAGTTAAACTAGCTAAGGAGAGAGGTAGAACTGATATTCTTTCTGTCTTGAAGAAGTTTGGTGGTATAAAATTATCTCATCCAATTGATTCTTATGTTAACGTCCTCCTTGTGGGTAATCCTGGAGCTGGTAAAAGTACTCTTAGTCATATCATCAATGACACAGCTAGTTTCACTCTTCTTGGTTCCTTACGAAATGTTGGAGGGGTAGTGCCCTGTACTGCTGGTATCATTCCTTATAAACTACAACACAGGACACTCGGTAACATCATTCTTCATGATTTTGCTGGTCATTCCGAATACTACTCCAGTCACAGTGCTGTCATTGAGAATCTCTTACAAGGTTCTGGTGGTGTGTTCCTCATAGTAGTCAATATATTGGACAAGGAACCAGTCAAACAGCTTCATCAGTGGCTAACAGTTGTCACAAATGAAGCACAGAAAGCTCTCAATCAATGCCATGTTATTTTGATAGTCAGTCATGTGGATGAGATAAGTAATTCTGTTGAAAGGAGAAGGAGAAAGGAAGAAATACTGGAGATTATTGTAAGGGAAAAGTGTGATAGTGTCTTCTTAAATTGTCGTAAGCTTGGCGGGAGTGGTGTGGATTCCTTCTTTAATAAGTTGTCAAGTGCCTGTGAGTCCATTCGTAGTACAAGTGGAAGGAATTTGAGTCTTTATTGTCACATGATGTATGGTCTACTGGAGGAAAGGAAAGAGAATATACTGACCCTCTCTGATGTAATGTCTGCTGGTAAGGACAATGATGATTACTTTATACCAGATAAGAGAGAAGACGTCTTGGATGTTCTTGATTCGTTGCACTCAACTGGTTTGATCAATGTCCTTAAAAGTGAAGACAAGGTATGGGTTGTTGTAAATAAGGGTATACTACTAACTGAGGTGAATGGGGTTCTCTTTGCTCCAGAGATATTCAAAGAACACATTGAAATTGCTAGCAACACTAGTATTGTTAGTGTATCTGGTCTGACTAGACTCTTTCCTAAATATGATAATGACATGTTGCTCTGTTTCTTGAAGAACATGAGCCTCTGTGAAGAAATTAATCCATCTTTCCTAACAATCACAAACCTCCATCAGTTAGAGTGGAAGAGGAGGAGGAGGGAGGGACAGAAAGAAGAGGAGAAAGGTTGTTGCACTTTCCATGTCTTTTATCTACTGATAGACCTGATGAGATGACTAGTCAAGTGTACCAGTTTGGTTGGTGTCTACAGTGTACTAGTAAACATCATTTCTTTCCTCCTCGATACTTCCACATCCTCTCATTACGTCTTGTTTATAAAATGGCTCTACCTCGAGAAGATGACAAGTTAAATCGTTACTGTACATTTTGGAGAAATGGTCTTCACTGGTTTGATGACAATGGTGTAAGAGTATTAGTAGAGATTGTGGATGAGAGCCAGTCTGTACTAGTAATGATGTCCTGTAAGAAAGGTTACAGTGACAATATGGTGTTTCTAAGAAGAGATGTGATAGGAGAGGTAATGAGTGTTTATAAAGAATCCTGTCCCAGTCTAGAGGTAAAAGAGTTAGCTATTGATCCTAAAGAACTAGCCTATCCTGTGAATACACCAAGAGAAAGGACAACTTATGGCATATATAATGTACTGTTGGCGATTAAGAAAAGGAAACCATTTCTTGTGAGTGATAAAGGACAAACAGAATTGAAGGAGACCTTAACTGATGAATCATTATCAGATATTAGTAACCTGTCACTATTAGGAGGACGTGATATTAAGGTAAGAATTAACACACACAAACTGTTTGATACATTAATACAAGCACTAATAATCAAAAGGTCATATCTTTAAAAAGTAATTTTATTTCTTATCAAATTACTCAGACTTTGTCATAATTGTGGGTTGTCATTGTGTGGCTTTTACTACTAATGATATATACTTGTACATCTCTTAAACTCACCTTTCAGCAATACACTACTTATGTATATCACCTTGATAAACAAGCACAGTGACAAATATCAGTTATTATTATTATTATTATTGTATAGGAAGTGATTGAAATAACTAAAGAATTCAAGACACCATTGACTCCAATAAAGCTAGGTATTATGTACTATCACAATTGTCAAGTAGTGGGAGTGCAGACTGTATAGTGTGTATACACAAGATTAATTATTATTTTTATAGATATTAAAGATCTTGATATTGCCATTAAAGAATTAACATCAGATCAACACTTGCCCTGTTCTGTATGGCACAGACTATAGGTCTACAGTTAGGATTATATGATCCTAGACTAGTGGATATAGACAAGAAGAATAGAGGAGATCCAGTGGAGTGTTTCTGTGAGTGTATGTCTGCCTGGTTAAGAGGAGAAGATAAAGTGAGAGAGAAAGGAGGTCCCAGTTGGTCATCATTAGCTACAGCACTGGATACAATAGAAGAGAAATCTATTGCTACTAACGTTAGAGACAAATATTGTCCATTAACATAGTTGATTGACTAGTTTAAATGTTTGGTGTTTTATTTGTGTTCTTATTTTATTTTTTACAAGATAATGACATTAAGTAGGCAAGTGAAAGCAAGCCCTGCTATAAGACAAAAGAAGCAAGAAGTGTGTCAGTCTGTTATGGTAGTATCAATAGAGTCATTACTATAATAAAATCAATATTACTGCTCTAAACAGTACTACTTAATATAATGGCATTCCTATAAATAGCATCATTTATCACTACTATAAATACACATGTATGTACATGCATCATTGTTACTATAAATAGTATATCATTTACCTCTGTTCCTAAGGAAGAATGACACTATGTCCAACTGCCTCAGTTCCAGTCCAGTCTCCAGTGCATTGAGAGGGAGGGAACATTGGTCCCAGCGGTTCAAGTGACACACCTCCTCAGCTACTGATGCACTACTATACATTAACACCTAATGATGATGATGATGATAATAATAATAATAATAACAAAAACAACAACAAAAATAATAATAAAAGTTTAAAAGATTGAGAAGGTAAGATGTTCATTATTAAGGCTGCATTTACCCACTGGAGAGCGACAGAGAGGCATTGGACCAGGTATTGGCAGGCATTGTCATCCCCAGAATATCACTGAATACGGCGGCCCAAAGATCTGATGAATGATGATGACTGAGGGCCCATAGCACCAAGAGACTCAATCGCTACAGGAGTGAAGATATATGAAGTGAGGGCAGCATACTTAGCAGACTTCTTTGACTCCGCCAAAGCAGCGACTGCACCAGTGCCAGATAAAGCTGTAGACCTGTAGGATTGAGCGAGAAAATCTGGAACTGTAGCATCCCAGACCAAGGGCTTAAAATGTTCCCAGGGTATGGGTGAGACCATCTGCAGTGGCGTAGCCAGGATTTTTGAAAAGAAGGGGCAAGCTGTGCAGTGCGCAAAATTTTGTGAAACCACGCCTTTTTGGGGCGTGGCCACACCTATTTTTCAACATGGCGGACTTCTTGACTGATCATAGGCAACGTTGAATACCTTTTCAGCCTTATAATGGCATAATAGAAAGACTCCTTTGGCCTTTCCTTTCATATGTAAGTTTTAGAACAGCTATTCCTTCCAAAAGCAGCTTATTATTTGATTATTTTTAAATATTGATTTTAAAAAGGGGGGCAATTGCCCCCCTTGCTACGCCCCCGATCTGGCTGTTTCCCATCAGACCTGGAGAGACCTGAGGGCTCCAAACAGGCTGGGATACGAGCACAAGAGAGTGAGCGGTGGAGGACATCATTAATGGCAGCTTGGCAATGGAAATGCATACCTCCCTTCTTACACAATTAATGTATTTATTGTATTGGAAGTTTGGCTCTACCAAATGTAAAGTTTTTTTCTTAATTTTAGTTAACTATGACCATTAGCTAAATTAACTAAACACAATTGATGCACATGTACATGAATAAATTACTAATAAATTACTAAAAATTGCTAATAATTACTTTATTATTGATGAGAGAAGGTTAACAGCTGCATCCAGTTGATCAGGAGGAATGGGAGGAGGAGAAGGTAAGGACTCACTGCTGCACTTCCTCTTGTCACTTCCATAACTATCATCTATTAATAGTAACAAACATTACTAACACACATTAATATTAATAGTAACACATGTACTATGAATAGTACTGAACACACATACAATGTAGATGTAGTATTTAGTATATTAAAGTATTATAAAATAAAAAATAAATGCCTGATGTTAAAATAGTAATTACGTTTTATAGCTAATTCTAGGCAAAAGCATAAACTGAACTGCTTAAGCGTAAAAATAATTTCTGAACACAATCAATGGTGCATTTTATTATTAATATTATTATTAATATTAATACTATCCTGTAGCTCCAAACTTTTGTCGGTCAAAAATTTCATCAAAATTGTCAAGAGTTTATGCTTGACAAAATTTTTGCTCCATGTGATTAGTATGCAAATTTATAATCAAAATAAATTTATCCACAAAAATTAATTTTAATATGTGTTAATTAATTGTACATGTGTTTCAAAAAAGTGCCCTATGGTATTACATGTGTGCATGTTCAGAATCAGTTCAAAAACTATCAAAAGGACATTGATATATAAATTGAGAAATTATTTTACAGCTAAATCTTAGCAAAAGCATTCACTTCCTCTCTCTCAGTTATGGTATGTGTGTTTAGTGTATTGAATTCCTGATGTGTGGGCGGGTATCAATGAATCTAATTAACTGACCACAAGATGTCGTTAGAGGACAAGTGTTTGGATGCATTTGAGAAAAGACATTATAAAGAAGCTGTTCGCTTACTACCATTAGTGAAGGAACCAAATAAAATTAAAGGAAGATGTGGTTTATTATGGGGTAATACTAGTTTACTTCATTTGTCTTCAGAGTATGGCTGGTTAGATGTTACAAAAGATCTCATCACTAAATATCACTGTGATCCATACGAAAGAGATGATAGAGGTTGGAATTGTCTTCATTGTGCTGCAGCATATAATCATGTTGATGTGATGAGATATCTCATTGATGAGGGCCACTGTGATCCAAAGGTTCCTAGTGAGTATGGATTAACTGTTCTTCACAAAGTAGCTGAACAAGGATTACTTAATTTCTTGAAGTACTTAATCAATCATCATCACTGTGATCCAATGGCTACTAGCTATTGGGGTGAGACTGTTCTTCACCGTGCTGCTAGATACATTGATATTGTAAAGCATCTCATTAAAGAGTGTCACTGTGATCCAATGGCTACTAACATGAATGGTGAGACTGTTCTTCACCTTGCTGCTGGACACATTGATATTGTAAAGTATCTCATTAATGAGTGTCACTGTGATCCAATGGCTACTACCAATAGTGGTGAGACTGTTCTTCACCGAGCTGCCAAATTACACATTAATATTGTAAAGTATCTCATTAATGAGTGTCACTGTGATCCAATGGCTACTAACGATAGTGGTAAGACTGTTCTTCACTGTGCTGCTGGACACATTGATATTGTAAAGTATCTCATTAATGAGTGTCACTGTAATCCAATGGCTACTACCAAGGATGGTGAGACTGTTCTTCACTGTGCTGCTGGACACATTGATAGTGTAAAGTATCTAATTAATGAGTGTTCCTGTGATCCAATGGCTACTGACCCTAACAACAGGACAATTCTTCATAAAGCAGCTAGTACAAACTCATCTGATGTAATCAAATATCTAATCAATGAGTGTAACCATGATCCAATGGCTGTTGACAGGTCAGGGCAGACACCTCTTCACCAGGCTGCTAGTTGGAGATGCTCTGCAGCTGTTGAATATTTACTATCAACTGGTAAATGTGATCCATTGGCTAAGGACAATCAAGGGAAAACTCCATTTCAACTAGCTAAAGAGAGAGGTACTCTTTCTGTCTTTAAGAAGTTTGGTGGTATAAAATCATCTCATCCAATTGATTCTTATGTTAATGTCCTCCTTGTGGGTAATCCTGGAGCTGGTAAAACTACTCTTAGTCATGTCATCAAGGACACAGCTACTGGCCCTTTTGTTCTTGGTTCCATCAGAAATGTTGGAGGGGTAGTGCCCTGTACTGCTGGTATCATTCCTTATAAACTACAACACAGGACACTGGGTAACATCATTCTTCATGATTTTGCTGGTCATTCTGAATACTACTCAAGTCACAGTGCTGTCATTGAGAATCTCTTACAAGGTTCTGGTGGTGTGTTCCTGATAGTAGTCAATATATTGGAGAAGGAACCAGTCAAACAGCTTCATCAGTGGCTAACAGTTGTCAGAAATGAAGCACAAAAAGCTCTTAATCAGTGCCATATTATTGTAATAGTCAGTCATGGGGATGAGATAAGTAATCCTGTTGAAAGGAGGAGAAAGGAAGAAATACAGGAGATTATTGTAAGGGAAAGGTGTGATAGTGTCTTCTTAGATTGTCGTAAGCTTGGTGGGAGTGGTGTGGATTCCGTCTTTAATAAGTTGTCTAGTGCCTGTGAGTCCATTCGTAGTACTAGTGGAAAGAATTTGAGTCTTTATTGTCACATGATGTATGGTCTACTGGAGGAAAGGAAAGAGAATATACTGACCCTCCCTGATGTAATGTTTGCTGCTTGGCACAATGATGATTACTTTATACCAGATAAGAGAGAAGACGTCTTGGATGTTCTTGATTTGTTGCACTCAACTGGTTTGATCAGTGTTCTTAAAAGTGAAGAGAAGGTATGGGTTGTTGTGAATAAGGGTATACTACTAACTGAGGTGGATGGGATTCTCTTTGCTCCAGAGACATTCAAAGAACACGTTGACATTGCTAGCAATACTGGTATTGTTAGTGTGTCTGGTCTGACTAGACTCTTCCCTAAATATGATCCTGACATGTTGATTCGTTTTCTGAAGAACATGGAACTCTGTCAAGAAATTAATCCATCTTTCCTAAGAATGACAAACCTCCATCAGTTAGCAGTGGAAGAGGAGGAGGGAGGGAGAGAAAAAATAGGAGAAAGGCTGTTGCACTTTCCATGTCTTTTTTCTACTGATAGACCTGATGAGATGACTAGTGAAGTGTACCAGTTTGGTTGGTGTCTACAGTGTACTAGTAAACATCATTTCTTTTCTCCTCGATACTTCCATATCCTCTCATTACGTCTTGCTTATAAAATGGCTCTACCTCAAGAAGGTGACCAGTTAATGCGACGTTGTACATTTTGGAAGAACAGACTTTACTGGTCTAATAGCCATGGTGTAGGATCACTGGTAGAGATTGTGGATGAGAGCCAGTGTGTACTAGTAATGATGTCCTGTGAGAAAGGTTACAGTGACAATATGGTGTCTCTAAGAAGAGATGTGATAGGAAAGGTATTAAGTGTTTATAAAGAATCCTGTCCCAGTCTAGAGGTAAAAGAGTTAGTTATTGATCCTAAAGAACTAGCCTATCCTGTGAATACACCAAGAGAAAGGACAGTGTATAGTGTAAAAGATATACTCTCTGCTATTGTCAAGAGAGAAGAGTTTTTAGTAAATGCAACTGGTACTAGGTGCACAGGATTGAAGGAGATTCTACCTGATGAATCATTATCAGATATTAGTAACTTGTCACTATTAGGAGGACGTGAAATTAAGGTAAGAATTAACACAAAAACTGTTTCATACATTAACACAAGCACTAATAATCAAAAGGTCATATCTTTAAAAAGTAATTTTATTTCTCATCAAAATTACTCAGTCTTTGTCATAATTGTGGGTTGTCATTGTGTGGCTTTTACTACTAATGATATATACTTGTACATCTCTTAAACTCACCTTTCAGCAATACACTACTTACATGTATGTATATCACCTTGATAAACAAGCACAGTGATAAATATCAGTTATTATTATTATTATTGTATAGGAAGTGATTGAAATAACTGAAAAATTCAAGACACCATTGACTCCAATAAAGCTAGGTATGTTATAATATGTATTAATGTATAGTTGCAGCAAAGATCAAAGGCCTAACAGTTGTGATAAAACCCACAGAACACTTCCACCAATACCGCAGTGTGATATTATAAATAGCACACTCATTTATTTAATGTGCAGCAGTGTGATATCAGTGATAGCAGAGCACGTGCAATCTTTGCTGGAACTATACACTAAAACAATTAATACATGTGGCGTCGTGTGCTATCTGATTTATCCGCACTCGCTTCCGGTCTCGTCGCTAAAATAGCGCACTCGGCCTTCGGCCTCGTGCGCTATTTTAGCGACTTGACCGGAAGCTCGTGCGGATAAATCAGATAGAACACACCGCCCCATGTATTAACTATTACCTATCACAACTGTCAAGTAGTGGGAGTGTAGACCGTACAGTGTATATACACATTATTAATTATTGTATCCTGGGAAGCCATAAGATGAAAGGCACTGCTAGTATATATAGAATATTATTGATATCATGTGTGCAGCCAGGTAAATATATATATATTCCACAGGAAGTGGCCAGGGGAATGTATTACAAAACAGGAAGTAACATTATTTTTAATGAACATTTTTAATAAAATTTAATGAAAAAATGAACATAATTCTCCAGAGTTAGAGCAATGCCCCTTAGTACCTCACATGAGCAACATAAAGAAGTCAGTAAAGTTTTGATGCCACATGGAAATGATGACACTTTCTTACCTACAAAAAAACGTGCATGAAAAGAAGAAAGTGAAAGTTTCGGCAAAGACTTTGCAATAAGGAGACTCACCATTTTGTTCATCTTTTACGGTTCTACTAGCCTAGATTCTACCTCATCTTCCACAACAAGCTCAACAACTTTTCAGCCATTTTTTAATTTTCTTACTAATGATGTCATTCACGTCAATTGTTTCTATGGCCGGCTAGTAAAATGCCTTTCATCATTATGGCTTCCCTGGATACAACCTGATACTCCCCTCAAAGCCATGCTCTAGCTAATACTTATTTTTATAGATATTAAAGATCTTGATATTGTCATCAAAGTATTAACATCAGATCAACACTTGCCCTGTTCTGTTTGGCACAGACTAGGTCTACAGTTAGGATTATATGATCCTAGACTAGTGGATATAGACAAGAAGAATAGAGGAGATCCAGTGGAGTGTTTCCGTGAGTGCATGTCTGCCTGGTTAAGAGGAGAAGATAAAGTGAGAGAGAAAGGAGGTCCCAGTTGGTCATCATTAGCTACAGCACTGGATACAACAGAAGAGAAACCTATTGCTAGTTACATTAGATATAAATATTGTCCATCAAAATAGTTGATTGACTAGTTTAAATGTTTAATTGTTTTATTTCTAATTTTAAAAAGTTTAAGTCAATCCCGGCAATAAATTTTTGAGCTTACTACATGTGTACACACAGTAGCATTGTATAGAGTTGTTACTATAGTATCAAATTACTACTGTAACTTATACAATTAATTTTACTACGATGGCATTCTTTGATCTAACTATATAGTATCAGTAGCAGTGATACTATAAATAGTATTATTTATCACTACTATAAATAGTGCATGCTTCACATGTATCATTGTTACTATAAATAGTATATCCTTTACCTCTGTTCCTAAGGAAGAATGACACTATGTCCAACTGCCTCAGTTCCAGTCCAGTCTCCAGTGCATTGAGAGGGAGGGAACATTGGTCCCAGCGGTTCAAGTGACACACCTCCTCAGCTACTGACGCACTACCATACATTAACATCTAATGATAATAATAATAATGACAATAAAATTTGCAGTTTTTGGTTCCCATTCTTCATTCCTCGTTTTTCCATTCCCATTCTTATCATAATATGCTATTACCAATCCGTTATTATAGTGGGGGTACAATAGGGCGGAGTCACTGGTCACATGACCTTCAGCTGGAGGGAGTATACACTGTATGGGGTAACTAGTGCTAGAGTGGGTGTGGCTTCAGGACATGTCGTCCTGTTTTATATTCAACGGTTTAGTTTTTCTCATACTAATAATACAAACATTGCTAGACTCCTCCCAGTCTCCGCCCACTCCTTTACCAAGCCACGCCCCTCTACTAGGCATGTACCAATTGTTGTCTGAAACCAGTTTGACTAGTTTGTCGTGCTCCTTCGGTTGCTTAGAAACCACACCCAGTGAGAGGCCACACCCCTCGTTAAGATTCATCCTATCAATGTTCCTCATTAGTCTATTGCATCGCTTAGCAACAAAACGGCTGACAAAAGGTCTGACGTATTTTGCTCCTTTTCTCGTCTTGTCAGTCCACCGTACCTCCCTCTCTCTAGCTCCTCCTCTTGGCTGATGGGCGGGTTCTGGAGCCGCTGGCTGGGCGGGGCCCTCTTGGTCAACTTTTTATGGAAATTTTTAGAATAATGTGAGGAGAACATGGCAAAATAAATCCCTAAATCAACGGCAATGATGTGGTGGGTTTTAGTGGAGACACAGAGTTTCATTAAATCAGGAGAGACTGAGATCTTATGAAATGAAGACCGGGACAGGGTTTGTAGGAGAGAGGGACCATCTACACATGAGAAGAATTGATAGGAGGTATTTTAATTTTAAAATGTATTTTAATTTTAATTTTATTATAAAATTGTAAATATTTACCTGGAGTGTTATAGCTAAACATTCTACAGTATTCCAGTGGATGAATGGCAGCAATGATCATAGCAATAGAGACACTGTAGACCACTGGATAATAATGAAGTTAAGGATCATAATTGTACATTATTAATGATTAATGTACATGTAGTACATGTAGTCATGTACATAGCTCAGGGAGAGAAATAAAAAGAAGAAAAAAAAGGATAGAGAAAGAAAGAAGTACGTGTTTATAAACATTGGGTATTTTTCAGAGTTTGGCCTTTGTCCATAACTTAAAAACTTTAAGTTGGAATCAGCTCAAACTTCCTACACGGCAAAAAACATTATGTATTAGAAAATGTAATAAAAATTTGGAGACAATTTTTGGACAAAACCTAAGGCTAAGAAATGTGTACAGGGCATTAATTAGGATACATACAATCCCGTCCTTAGTGAGAGTGAACAGTAGCGGCCAATTAAAAATAATGTCTTTCAACTTCCCAACATATTGTGGAAGAGCATCATCATACTGGAAGGACTCCATGAAGACTAAAGCGAGGCCATTAGATTATTGCTGGAATGAGAAGGAGGTGTTTAAAGAACTGTCATTAGCTAATGGAATGGCATCACCTTTATGAGAACCATACTGTTAGTGTATCAAGACTGGAGCCTATTGAGAGGAGAATAATTAATAACTATTAATGAAGCACTATGGTGCAATGGACTCGCCCATTGGAATTCACCTGAGTGATATGTGTTACTTGTACTGTGATATTTTAAGCAATTTGAAAAAAAATTATTATTGACTGCATAGTTATAATGATAATTAAAATAAACTAAGGGTGTGGTCAAGAACTAGCTAAATCATGGCACATGGGTAGGAGAAAGAAGAAAAGCTGAAATTTATTTTAGCATCTGAAGCTCTATTCAAGGAAAAAGTTGGCACAAAAAATTTTCCTAGACATTTAAAAGACACTGAGTGAGTTTGGTTGCTCCTGATTTCCCTAGTGACGTCTGAAAAATTTTCAAAGAGGCTAAATCACAAACTTTGAGCAACTGTAACTCACAAACAACGAAGTTAGGACAAAATCGTTCTTTTAGTTTTTTGTTAGATGGGATTTTCTACCTCTGAAGCAAATCTCGGCCCTGTAGAGTGAAACACGAGCTCTCACTTGGAGAGAGGTCCCCTGGTTTAGCAGTTCACAGCTTTTGGTGCCACGGGATGCTACAAGAGCATAACTAGATGAAAGAAAGCAACTTTATCTGTTGCTATATAGCTCTAGATTGCTCAGACAAAAAGGTATATTTTTTACAAATCAATTAAACTGTGTGGACAGAATGACAGAATGACAACCCGACTGCTTAGTACCCGCCTACGCAAGCAAGGCGAGTCCAATAACAAAATATGTATTGATGGAGAGGAACTTGAAAATTCGTAAAAAATCCAAATTTAACCGGTATTAGCTCAAACTTTCTATGACACATAAGAACACGTATATGCATCAGAAAAAATTATTAAAATGCTGAAATCTCTCCTTTTAATTATGACTAATAGAACAGGGACTTTGGCCCCATCGGAACATTGATTTATGATTGGAATCGGTTCAGACTTTCTATGCAACATAAGT